GCTGCCTGCCCCTGTGATTGACCCGGATTGCCCTGAACTACGCTGCCTGCTCCTGTGATTGACCCGGATTGTCCTGACTATTCTGCCTGCTCCTGCGTTTGACCCGGATTGCCCTGACCATTCTACGGACTGACTTACCCTGCTGACCCTGCTACTAGTGTGACCCGACTACTCTTTGCCCACAGGATTCTGTACCCCGCTTACCCTCAACGGGCCCACGATCCCTTACTACCCTGCTGGGGGCGCGCCATCCTCTTCACATCTGGCTCTCCCGGTACCTGTCCCCGGAGGTCTCCTCAGCCACTGGTGGGCCTGCTCGGAGGTCGTGACCTGGCCCGGGACTGTTCAAAGTCCATCCCCACCATCAGGGGCCCTGGTGAAAAGCACAGCCCGGGCTTAGACCCCACGCTCTGAGTAGGTCTGTCAGTTGGCAGCCTGAGCACCACCTGGCGGATCATAACAAAGGGCATCATTTTCTTACCACAGCACACGTTTCTTCCGCATCACTCCTCACTCACTTCTCCTGCCCAGACCCTTGCTTGCCTGACCTCTCTCCCTGGATGCCCCTTATTAGATCTGACCTCCTGTTGCTGACCTGGCGTGTGACCCGACGATTCTCTGCCTGCTCCCTTGTACCTTACCGTCCTCTACATTACCGACTCGGCCCTGTCTGACTACGCACTTGCTCAGCCATCCATCCATCCATCCATCCCATCGGGGTCACCCGACCTCCTCACATCTAGGCTCTCCCTGGTTGAGCCCCTGGCGAACACCACTACCACTGACAGTAGAGGCGACCTGGTCTCGGGGTACTACAAGTCCATCCCCACCATCAGGGGCCCTGGTGAAAAAGTACCCTGGGGCTTAGACTCCGCACTCTGGGCACGCCTGACCAGTGGAGTGCTAGTGGTGCCGCTCGGCGGTCCCTCACAGTGGATCTTAGTTTTGCCTTTGATAATATAGAGCACAATCTTTAACACTGTCACCTTGAAACCATACTTGAAGTCTCAGAATTGGCTTTGAAAGGGTTTAAGTCCTATATTACTGATCGCTGTAATTTTTGTTTCTGTTGACAGATTCCAGTCTAAAGTTGGTCTAGTCAAGTTTAGTGTTCCTCAGGGCTTAATCTGGGTTCTTACTTTTTTAGAATTTACATGTTTCCACTTGGCCAACTGCTTAGATCACATAGGCTCAAATATCACTTCTGATGACACTCAGATATACATACAAACTAAACTGGATTGTACTTTTGGCTGCTTTTCTCCTATCTAACTGGTATTAGTGATATAAAAAATAGAAGGCCTACAATTTCCTTCAATTAAACTATGACAAGATTGAAGTCATACTTATTGGCACCCCCAATTGGCACCCTCCATCAGTTATGTAAGGCCAGTCCTTGTAGCCTATCTATAAATGCCACTTTTTGATCTTCAGTCTGATCCACTTGTACATTTTCACTTGACAAATTTTGCTTGGCTGTATCCTATGCTATCATGCGTTTGTAGCTAAATAGGTGATCCATATATTGTGTGTTCTCCTGACTTTACTTCAATGCTGCACTCGCCAGTGTACCTAGATTCACTATTATTCAACTAAAATATGTACAAAATTCTGAAACCAGCATATCATATTACTCCAATCCTGGAGTCCTTGAAATGGTTTCGCATAGATTTTAAGATTCTTTTGCTTTCCTATAAGGCTCTTAATGGCTTGGCACCCCATTATCTGTCTGAAATTTTATCAACTTACTCCCTCTCTTAATATTATATAAAAATGCTAGCGCATATATACAATACTTATTCTCAAATAAAATAGTATATAGCGAAATATATATATATATATATATATATATATATATCAAATGAATAAATAACCATAAATCTTACTGTGTGACAATGTGGTATGCTTAAACAACCATATCTGTGCATAATCAGTTCTCCATATATATATAACGTATCACAATATAATAATATCAATGACACGCCATTCTCATATTGCTGCCCATATTAACCATGCGTTATATGAACCATATCCACTGTGCATCTAATATCTACTATCAGTGCCCCAATATATAATTATCACAATCCTTGGTGAACCGTCCCTTTAAGACTCAGTGCTCCAAGTGCTTATGTGCAATTTCTCCACTTTGTATATTCATCTAGTGATTCCATGTGACCCCCAGTGCTTATTCCACCTCCGACACACTTATACACTCACCTTGTGGATTGACCCGAACCGTCAGGTCAAAGCACGCCTTTCCCTTTAACTCGGTGTGGGTATGCTGGTATACAAATCTCCAACTCCTCCTGCACCTCCAAACTCCCAAATGTACCTCTTGTGGATTGACCTGAACCATCAGGTCAAAGCGCGCCTTTCCCTTTAACCCGGGCAGGTATGCTGGTTTTTAAATCTCCAACTCCTCCTGCAACTCCAAAACTCCCCACAGATAAATGGAAAAAATGCTCCAAATAGTGAAATATAGCAAAAAAGTATATGCTTTATTAAAACACTTAAAATCTTCCACTCACATTCATTTTTGTCCGCCTGGGACACTACAGGATCAAGGACTCTTTGTATATTAATTTTTTGTGAATGAACTGTATGGATCCCTTATTCAAGATGGCAGTACGTACACTTCCGGTTATGGCTTGGCGGCATCGGGTACGTCGATGACGTCGTGCCATAACCGGAAGTGTACGTACCACCATCTTGAATAAGGGATCCATGCAGTTAATTTCCAAAAAATAATATACAAAGAGTCCTTGATCCTGTAATGTCCCAGGAGCATTGTTTCCATTTATCTGTGGTGCATTTTGGAGTTTGGAGATGCAGGAGAAGTTAGAGATTTGTATACCAGCATACCCGCCGGGTTAAAGCGAAATGCGCAGTTTGACCTGACAGTTCGGGTCAATCCACAAGGTGAGCGCATAAGTGTGTCGGAGGTGGAATAAGCACTGGAGGTCACACGAAATCACTGGATGAATATACGCAGTGGAGAGATTGCACATAAGCACTTGGAGCACTGAGTCTTAAAGGGACGGTTTCACCAAGGATTGTGATAATTATATATTAGGACACTGATAGTAGATATTAGATGCACAGTGGACATGGTTCATATAACGCATGATTAATATGGGCACCAATATGAGAATGGTGCGTCATAGATATTATTATATTGTGATACGTTATATATATGGAGCACAGATTATGGACAGATATGGTCATTTAAGCATACTACATTGTCACACAGCAAGATTTATGGTTATTTATTCATCATTATATATATATTATTTTTTTGCTATATACAATTTTATTTGAGAATATAGTATTGCGCTGCATTTTTGTATAATATTATTTGAATGCGGGAACACTTTTTTTAGCTGCAATATTTGTTTAATATCAGTTTTTAGATAGGTCATATTGCGCTGTAGGTTTTTCACATATTACTCCCTCTCTTGTAACCTCTAATTTCTCCTGCTATGCCCCAAAACTTTGGAATTCACTTCCAAAGAACATCAGAGAGTCATGTTCTCTAAACTTTTCTAAAACGTTTTTCGTTCGGCAAGCTTTCATGTAACTGCTCCTTTTTTTTCCTTTGTTTTTCCCTGTGTATTTCTTGTGTTTTTGTTTCTCTTGTCTTTTATTTTTATTATTATTATTACTTTGGTTAGTTAATAATTTAGATTACATGTTGCTATCTAAAATGGTTTCATGAGTCACTTTTTTATTTAATACAGGTACTTATATAGCACTATCAATTTACGCAGCTCTTTATATACAGTGGGGATCGAAAGTTTGGGCACCCCAGCTAAAAATTTGTATTAATGTGCATAAAGAAGCCAAGGAAAGATGGAAAAATCTCCAAAAGGCATCAAATTACAGATTAGACATTCTTATAATATGTCAACAAAAGTTAGATTTTATTTTCATCATTTACACTTTCAAAATAACAGAAAACAAAAAAATGGGCACCCTGCAGAATTTATAGCATGCACTGCCCCCTTTGCAAAGCTGAGACCTGCCAGTGTCATGGATTGTTCTCAATCATTGTCTGGGAAGACCAGGTTATGTCAATCTCAAACGTTTTAAATGCCCAGACTCATCTGACCTTGCCCCAATAATCAGCACCATGGGTTCTTCTAAGCAGTTGTCTAGAAAACTGAAACTGAAAATAGTTGACGCTCACAAAGCTGGAGAAGGTTTATAAGAAGATAGCAAAGCATTTTCAGATGTCAATATCCTCTGTTCGGAATGTAATTAAGAAATGGCAGTCATCAGGAACAGTGGAAGTTAAAGCAAGATCTGGAAGACCAAGAAAAATATCAAACAGAACAGCTCGCAGGATTGTGAGAAAAACAATTCAAAACCCACGTTTGACTGCACGATCCCTCCAGAAAGATCTGGCAGACACAGAGTTATGGTACACTATTCCACTATAAAGAGATACTTGTACAAATATGGTCTTCATGGAAGAGTCATCAGAAGAAAACCTCTTCTACGTCCTCACCATAAGAATCATCGTTTGAACTTAGCAAATGAACATATAGACAAGCCTGATGCATTTTGGAAACAAGTTCTGTGGACCGATGAGGTTAAAATTGAACTTTTTGACCGGAATGAGCAAAGGTACGTTTGGAGAAGAAGGGGCACAGAATTTAATGAAAAGAACCTCTGTCCAACTGTTAAGCAGGGGTTGGATCAATCATGCTTTGGGGTTGTGTTGCAGCCAGTGGCACAGGGAACATCTCACGAGTAAAAGGAAAAATGGATTCAATAAAGTTTCAGCAAATTTTGGATGGTAACTTGATGCCATCTGTGAAAAAGCTGAAGTTAAAGAGAGGATGGCTTCTACAAATGGATAATGATCCTAAACACACCTCGAAATCCACGGGGGATTACATCAAGAGGCGTAAACTGAAGGTTTTGCCATGGCCTTCACAATCTCCTGACCTCAACATAATTGAAAATCTATGGATAGACCTTAAAAGAGCAGTGTGTGTGTTAGGGACCAGCCGGTGGTAGCCTCTAGCGGCCCACAGACCAGAATTCCCCAGGGCGCGGAATCTAAGTTCCGACTTGCTTGTTCACCAGAGCCCCTGATGGTGGGGATGGACTTGGAGCAAACCGAGACCAGGTTGCGACCCCCTGGTGCAACCAGCTGTGGAAGAGGCACCTGTTGGTGGTACAGCAGCAGGTGAAAGTCTGATGTGAGGAGGTAGAGTAAGCAAGGTCAGACAGGCTGGGTCGGTAACAGCGGAGCAGGTCGGTACAACAGGAGATCAAAAGTGCAGGAGCAGGCAGGAGAATGGTCAGGCAAGCCAGGGGTCAGAGCAGGAGAAGTCAGCAGATCAGGATCAGGCAGGGTCAGCAGCAAAGTAAACTCACAGGAACACAGGAAAGACCACACGGCACATGAGCATTGCAAGAGCTGGGTTTAAATAGCCAGCCCAACTCCTGACAGGCACTCCTGGGTCCTAATGCTTGCCTGGTGCCGTCATTGGTGACAGGCGTGTCTGGGTCCTAGTGCCCGCCTGCCTGTACGTTTTGTCAGGACTCTATGCATGTGCGGATTTGATCGCCGCAGCGATCTTCCCATTCCCTGACATTGCCCCCCCCTTACGGGCAGCCTCCGGATGCCCAATCGGTTTCTCCTTTGAGGCTGGTTGTGAAGGAACTCCCGAATTAACTGAGGGGCATGAACATTTTTGAGCAGGTTCCCAAGAGTTTTCCTCTGGCCCATAGCCTTTCCACTTGATAAGATACTGTGTTTGCCCCCCCCCCCCCTCCGCCTGCAGTCAATAATACCTCCACCGAATTCCTCTTCCCCATCGATGTCTATGGCCTCTGGGGGGTCTAGATCTACGATCTGTAAAAGGATCTGCTACAGCGGGTTTCAGTAGGGACACATGAAACACAGGATGGATTTTGAAGGACTCGGGGAGTGCCAGCTTATATGCTACCTCATTAACCTTACGCTCTACCCGGAAAGGACCCACAAATTTTGGTGCCAACTTTCTCGATGGGCACGCCAGTTTCAGATTGGTAGTGGCCAGTCACACCTGGTCCCCTGGATGTATAACCAATTCCCTCCTCTCTTTCTATCAAATATCCTTTTACTGTCCTCCTGGGCTTTTGCCATGGTTTCTTGTAATAACTTGTTATTGGTTGTAAAGAAATTCAGGGTGTCTTGAGCTGCTGGGACTGTTTTTTTTTTTTTCCGGGATCAAATCAGGTAAGAACGAGGGATGGAAGCCATAGTTGGCGAAGAACGGTGATTGCTTAGTGGCAGAGTGGCAAGCATTATTGTATGCAAATTCAGCTAGGGGTAAAAGTGCCAGCCAGTTGTCCTGGAGGAATGATGTATAGCACCTAAGGTACTGTTCTAGTGTTTGGTTGGTTCGCTCAGTTTGACCATTTGTTTGCGGGTGGTATGCTGAGGAGAATGAAAGTTCAATTTCCAACCCTTCGCACAAAGCCCTCCAAAACCTTGAAGTGAACTGAACACCCCGATCAGATACAATGTTTTTTTGGCACTCCATGTAGCCTTACGATCTCTCTGATAAATACCTGTGCCGTTTCTGAAGCAGATGGTGTACCTCTCAATGGAAGGAAGTGAGCCATCTTGGACAACCGATCTACCACTACAAAGATCGCAGTATGGTCTTGTGATGGCGGTAATTCCACCACAAAGTCCATTGCTGTCATACTCCAAGGTCTGTCGGGCACCGGCAGTGGTCGCAGCAAGCCCCAAGCCCTGTCTTTGGTGGGCTTGTTCCTGCTGCAGACGGCACAGGATTTGACATACATATTTCGCAATCTTTGGCCATGCTTGGCCACCAAAACATGCGTTGGAGCAAGTCCAATGTCTTGTGTACCCCAAAAGTGGCCTGCTAACGGGTGGTCATGGCAATAGCCTAAGACCCGAGCTCGCGTCTCGTCGGGTACCAGGATCTGCTCCCCCCTCCACAAGAGACCTTCCTTGTTCTGCAATGAGACTCCAGGTGGCCTAGGAGTCCCCGTGGAAGCAGCTTGAAGTCTAGTTAGGAGTTCGGACTGAAGTAGCAAAAAGCTACTCTCCGGCAGAATAGTATCAGGTTTGGCTGTCTCCCAAGGGTCCTCAAACATCCGGGAGAGAGCATCCGGTTTAGTATTTTTAGATCCGGGCCATATACGTGATGTGCAGAGTAAACCTTGAGAAGAACAATGCCCATCTGGCCTGACGCGGCCTCAGGCGTTTTGCTGTCCTCAGATATTCTAGATTTTTATGGTCAGTATAGACCAGGATGGGATGCAATGCCCCTTCCAATAGATATCTCCATTCCTCCAGTGCTGTCTTAATCGCTAACAACTCCCGATCCCCAATATCATAATTCTTTTCTGATGGGGAGAGTTTTCTGGAAAAAAAGCCACTGGGTGCATCAGTTCCTTCACTCCTATTCTTTGCGACAGAATAGCCCCTACCGCATTTTCCGAAGCATCTACGTCCAGAATGTAAGGTAATGAAGAATCGGATGACTCAAAATAGGGGCTGTCGTGAATAGTTTTTTCAAGGCTTCAAAGGCGGTCTGTGCCTCAGGTGTCCATCGGAAACGCACCCCCACCTTAGTAAGCTGAGTGATGGGAGTTACCAGGCCCGAGAAATTTTTAATAAATTTCCTGTAAAAATTGGCGAAGCCAATAAATCGCTGGACCCCCTTTTTATCCGTGGGGACTGGACATTCTAAAACTGCAGATATTTTTTGGGGGTCCATCGCAACCCCATCGGTTGAAATGATCAACCCAAAAAGGGAATGCTGCTCTGCTTAAAGCTGCATTTTTCAGCTTAAGCATACAGCCCATGCTTGCGCAACCGCTCCAGTACACTCCTGACGTGATCTCTATGTGTCTCCAGGGATGAGGAAAAAATCAGGATGTCATCCAGATACACAATCACATAGATGTCCAGGATGTCCCTAAAAATGTCATTCACAAAGTGTTGGAATGTAGCAGGTGCATTACAGAGACCGAATGGCATAACAAGGTACTCAAAGTGCCCAAAGCGAGTGCGGAAAGCGGTCTTCCACTCATCCCCTTCCCGAATGCGCACTAGATTATAGGGCTCCCCTGAGGTCTAGTTTGGTAAAGATGGAGGCCGTCTTTTAGTCTCTGAAATAATTCAGGGACTAAGGGAATTTTGGATGGTAACTTGATGCCATCTGTGAAAAAGCTGAAGATAAAGAGAGGATGGCTTCTACAAATGGATAATGATCCTAAACACACCTCGAAATCCACGGGGGATTACATCAAGAGGCGTAAACTGAAGGTTTTGCCATGGCCTTCACAATCTCCTGACCTCAACATAATTGAAAATCTATGGATAGACCTTAAAAGAGCAGTGCGTGTGTTAGGGACCAGCCGGTGGTAGCCTCTAGCGGCCCACAGACCAGAATTCCCCAGGGCACGGAATCTAAGTTCCGACTTGCTTGTTCACCAGAGCCCTGATGGTGGGGATGGACTTGGAGCAAGCCGAGACCAGGTCGCGACCCCTGGGTGCAACCAGCTGTGGAAGAGGCACCTGTCGGTGGTACGCAGCAGGTGAGAGTCTGATGTGAGGATGTAGAGTAAGCGAGGTCAGACAGGCTGGGTCGGTAACAGTGGAGCAGGTCGGTACAAAACAGCAGGCAGAAGAATAAACGGGTCCCGTCCCCGGTTTGGCAACAGGAGATCAAAAGTGCAGGAGCAGGCAGGAGAATGGTCAAGCAAGCCCAAGGGTCAGAGCAAGAGAAGTAAGCAGATCAGGATCAGGCAGGGTCAGCAGCAAAGTAAACTCACAGGAACACAGGAAAGACCACACGGCACATGAGCATTGCAAGAGCTGGGTTTAAATAGCCAGTGCCCCCAACTCCTGACAGGCACTCCTGGGTCCTAATGCTTGCCTGGTGCCGTCATTGGTGACAGGCGCGTCTGAGTCCTAGTGCCCGCCTGCCTGTACGTTTTTGTCAGGACTCTACGCATGTGCGGATTCAATCGCCGCAGCGATCTTCCCATTCCCTGACAGCGTGACAGACAGCCCAGAAATCTCAAAGAACTGGAAGACTTTTGTAAGGAAGAATGGGCAAAGATACCTCAAACCAGAATCGAAAGACTCTTGGCTGGCTACAAAAAGCGTTTACAAGCTGTGATACTTGCCAAAGGGGGCAGTACAAGATATTAACTCTGCAGGGTGCCCAAACTTTTGCAGACGCCATTTTTTTGTTTTCTGTTATTTTGAAAGTGTAAATGATGGAAATAAAATCTAACTTTTGTTGACATATTATAAGAATATCTAATCTGTAATTTGATGCCTTTTGGAGTTTTTTCCATCTTTCCTTGGCTTCTTTATGCACATTAATACAAAATTTTTAGCTGGGGTGCCCAAACTTTCTATCCCCACTGTATATGTTGTACATTCAAATTAGTCCATAACCCTCAAGGGGCATACAATCTAAGGTCCTAACTTAAATTCATACATGCATATACTAGGGCCAATTTAGACAAGATCCAATTAACCTACCAGCATGTCTTTGGAGTGTGAGGGGAAACTGGACTACCCGGAGGAAACCCAGAGAGAACATGCAAACTCCAGGCAGGTGGTGCAGTGGTTGGGTTTTGAACAAATGACCCTAGTACTGCCAGGCAGAAGTGCTAACCATTTAGCCACTGTGTTGCCCCACTTTTTTATCTCTGTTTATTTGTTTGATACTTTCATTTCAGAGTACATTGAGAAATTTCAATAAAAACTAGAAAAACTAGTAGCGTACATGTATATAATGAATAAAAATAAGTGGTTTAATCTTCAACTCCAAACCAAGGAAGAACAACAGTATTAACAATAACAATCTTGACTTCAGATGATAGAGGGGAAGCAGAAAGGAGAGAAATACAATTTTGAAAGGGAGGAACAGACTAAAGCCAATCATAGACGGATTGAAATTCAGTTGGTTCAGCAGAAACTATGGGCAGGCTGGTTGTACTGAAGCCTGTCATTTTTTTTTTCGGCCGATTATTGCCTCCGGCTATAGCCAGCAGCAGTGAATATTGTATTCTGACGGTTAGGAAACCTTCCTTTGTCAGAATACAATAGCGCAGTGGAAGGAATTACTCCATCAACCAGTGTTGATGATGGAATTAAGCTATTTTATTTCCTAAAACCCATGTTTGAAGGTAAAAAAATTCATGATGTAAACATTTCACTAAAACTGTAAACCAAAAGGTTATTATATAAATTATGAAAAATTTGTAACATTATAAAAGGTTTTATAATGATACCTGATATATTGATCATAAAAACATAGATCAATTAAATATGAGATTAAAATCTAGTAAGTAAAGCACCGAGCAAACTGTTGGCACTGTATACATCCTGTATAATAATAA